AATAACATTCACCTGCCCTGGCCAGATAAGGAGAAGAGCGAAAACCTCAGGGAATGCCTGTATAAGATTAGAGAATATTTCATGATGTAGAATGAATGAGTATAAATAGTTAAAAGAGTTAAGAGCACCTGAGTTCAAGGGTGAATTTGAGAAAGGTTTTGTTGTTACAGACCTTTGAATAAATGATATGAAGATAATGTTAGATGGTTATTATTTCTCCAAAGTGGAGAAGTTAAATTGAGAAGTTTCGTTATTATGAGAGAAAGCTAGAGTATGGTGGACAAATGTCACCATAAGAATGTTAAAAGGTCAAATGATATGGTTAGAATTGTTGAAGAGCTCAATAATAAGTGCATCAGTGATACGTTTATAAAAGGAATGAAATCAGAGTTATGGATTTGAAACAAAGAAATAGTATGGTGTATAAACAAGAGTGTGGATATGATAAGGGTTTGTACTATAGAAGGAAAGAGTTAGCGTGAGCTAACAAGATGTCGTGATGAAAATGTATTAGATATAGTTTTATATTTGGATCATGGTAAAGGTGATGGAGTTGTAAAATTTGGAAAAGATATAAGGTTAAGTTAATTAAGTATGATGAATCTGGATTTGGTTGTGTATTCTGATCATATAGATATGATGTAAAGGAATAAGTGGTTGTATAAGATTAAGGAAGAAATTTTCAGTACAAGAGATGGTCAAGGAAGAGGATATGTAGAAATGAAATGAATTATCAAAGTTACGAAGATATGATAAAGATCGGTAATCAGGGATAAGTCTAAGTGATATGAAAAGCGTATGAAAGACTGAAGAAAATATATGATCTATGTTACAAGGATATTTCGAATTGTGAAGGAGTAAAAGGAAATACAGAATTAAATGAGAGAAAATACATGAATGGATTGAGGTTATTGGTTACTGTGTATATGATAAGTGACAGTAGATGAATGTATAAAGGAAAAAGGAATTTGAAGAACTACAAGAAGGAAATGTTAAGTAAAGGAGACAACCTGAGAACATTAGAAGGTATGTTCTTATTGGTATGTGCAATGAAAATTCGAGGATGAATTTTCTTTAAAGGAGGGAAGATTTGTAATATCTCAAACTTGGGGTTAGTGACTAAATTGTAAAGTTTCATAATTTGGTGACTAAAGTAGAAGAATTGAATAGTTCAATGATTTATTTGGAAATATTTCCTAAAATTTGCTAGTAATTATTAAAGGAATTAAAGGGCAAAATGGTCATTTGACAAGGAAGATTTTTATTTATCTTTATAAGATAAGGGAACCACGTAGAAAGGAAAGATTTCTCCAGAACTATTCTCCCTTCTTCTTCCTCCTCCAAGTGAGAGCTCAAGCAAAGGTAATATTTCTTTGTTGTTGATTATTAACTGAAATTTAAGGTTGAGTTTTGATTATTAGGTGATAATTAAGCATAAGAATAGCTTAATTTATCTTGAAACAATAAGATGAAGAGAATAGAGGGGATTAAAGAAAAGAGAAGAATAAGTGAAATCTTGAAATAGGGTTCTTTAATGAGGTTTTAGAGTGAATTTGACTTGTCATCAATCTAATTAACATATATGAAGTGTTAGAATTAGATTTGTAACATGCTAAAATTTGGGTATGATTCTTAAATTTCTTAAGGAGAATAGGATATGGAGGTTAAAGAAGTGATTATTGAGTAGAAATGAGTGCAAATATGTATATGTAAGTTAGGAATATGAAAAGGGATGAAATATGAAGCATTTGAGTTGAATTAAATGGATTTTTGGGCTTAAAATGCAAATTTTGGGCAAGGTGTATCGATGCACATTCATGCACATTGAATGTGCATCGATGCACTCTTTAAAGAAGAAACATCGAATGCAAATGGTGCATCGATGCATAAGGAGTGCATCGATGCATCCCTTTAAAATGAAAACATCGAAGGTAATTTGTGTATCGATGCATAGGTAGTGCATCGATACACAAGTTAAAGAATGGATCGATGCACTGTAGAATGCATCGATGCACTTCAAGGGGAAATTGAAATAGACATTTCTTTTGGTCTAAGAAATGATAGATTAGAATATATCAATTGGATACTGATATGTGTCAATGTATGATTATATAGATATCGAGCACGAACAAGTTCCGGAACGATTATCAAGTCAAGATTCGATCGAAAGAAAGGAAATCATAAAAGTGGATTGGAACTTAGTGAGGCTCAGGTGAGTGCATATGATTATAGTATACGATTATATGGAAATTTGACTTACGATGAGTCTATTTCCATGTTCTGATTTTATGAATGCATGAAAATAGGTATAGTTGGCAGCCTTTAGTATGTGAATATGTATTGTTATGTTCCTTTCTAGGATATGATTTATGTGATGATGTGACTCCGTGATATAAGTTATATGAACATAAACTATGTAAATAATAATGACTTATGTAATGACAAGAGAAAGTGATATGAGCTATGTGATCCTATGAGAATATGAAAAGAGATATGTGAACATGTGAATTACATGAAAGTAAACTATGTGTGACTATATGCACATGTGATATGTGACAGAAGAAAAGTAATATGTGATCATAAGAGCAATGAAAGTGTATAAGTGAAAATGCCCATGTTATGTATATTGAGAGCTAGAGGTATAGTTGGCATGCCAAGAGTCGAGGGTTTACCTATGTTCTAAGGAACATATGAACAGTTTACCTAGGTTCTTCGGGACCTATGGACAGTTACCGAGGATCTTTATGGCCTCTGGATAGTTACCGAGGATCTTTATGACCTCTGGATAGTTACCGAGGATCTTTATGACCTCTGGATAGGTCATTCGGGATATTTATACGAGGTGTGGTGACAGCATAGTGGTGCACAACCTCAATAGACTCACGTATCTACAGTTCTCACATGTGTACATGGGCTAATAAGAGATAATATTGAATACAAGATATGTTTTGGGATATTAATTATATGACATGATATATGTGTGTTAGTGATTATTGTATATGTTATAAGATATATGATTGTACAAATGGTAATTCTAAGATCATATGATAAAAAGAATCAATGATAATGATAAGAATGAAGATGATGATACATTTGCTTGTGTTTATGTGTTTTATAATAGGATAATGCTTTACATGACAGGATATATATATGTGTTATATTGCATACGCGAGTACATGTTAAAGTATATGTGAATGAGTATAATTGATTGACATGATGATATAATAACAAGTCTATCATATATATAATATGGACATAAAAGATCATAGGAACAGGAGATAAGAGATATGAATGATAATGACATGTATGTATGTATGTATGTATTTGTTACATATAAAAGTATACGAGTTGTAAGAAATGATCACTAGTAAATGTTTACATTATATGTTTATTGCCTCACTAAGTCATAGACTTAGCGTGTAAGTGATTTATACGTAGGTTTCGAGAAGAGTAAAGAGCAATGTGGAGCAAGACAGGTCAGTTCTTCTTACCAAATGTCAGATCAGAAGAAAGGTGAATAATATGTATTTTAATATATGAAGTTCTAGTTGGCATGTATTCAAAATGATATATTGTATAAGCTCTGAATAGTTCTTTAAATGTTTTGAATAAGTTATATGGATAAAAATTTTAAATTACTCACTATTTTATACAAGTAAATGTTTTGAAAAGGTAATGTGACACATCGGACTCGGATTCGGGTTAGATACGGGTTGGGGGTGTTACATGGTATATATGTTATTATGTTGTTATCATGTATACGGAAATCATATGTGAAATGATTGCATTCATAGATTGCATATTTATATTTATATTTATGAGAAATGCATCATTATTATGTTTATGCCTCACTAAGTCTATGACTTAGCGTGTAAGTGATTTACACGTAGGTACCAAGAAACAAGAAGAGCAAAAATAGGTGTGGCAAAGACAACACCATTACTAGAAGATTAAATCAGAAGTAAATAACAAAGTATGTATTTTGTGATATAAAGTGTGTTGGCATGTAATAAGTTATTAGTATGAACGCTCTGATCGACTTTTCTAATGTTTTTAACGTATTTATGTAAATATAAATGTATAGTAATGAACGGTTAAATTTTTACGAGTTTTATGTACGTTTTACGGAAGTATTGTAGTAGTACTGTAGCAGGGAATCGATTCCTTGTTTGCAATCTGGAAAATTTTGCATTTTGGGACTGTAGCAGGGTACTGTTCATGGTATTGTTTTATTAATGTTCACTGTAGGAGGGTACTGTCTATGGTATTGTTCATACGATACTGTTCACTGTTCATACCGTATTTTACTGTTCATAAAACGTACATTTTCTTAAATTGGTTGTAACAAACATGATTCAACAATATATTATCGTATTTTCTTAAAGAGAGTTCAAATGTTTTGATATTTTGTAAGAATATCGTTTTTAAAAGTCAATGTGATAACTCAGACTCGTATTCGGGTCGGATATGGGTTGGGGTGTTACAGTTATGTTCGTTGATTTAGTTTGTGTTCATTTGTTTGTTCGGTTAAAACTAAACGAACAAACATGAACATACCCTCATTCATGTTCGTCCGATTTGTTTACAGACCTATTCACAGTGATGGTGGCCATTTCAAATGACCAAAATCATTTTAGATCCTTCTTCTTTATTATCCATTTCTTATTTGTGGATGAAATATGGCAAAGCTATTTGACTTCATGAACCTATTTCCATGGATATTAATGATGAAAAAATATAAATCTAGTTTATTGTATAAATATTAATAAATGAGATCTGTATAATTTTTGTAATTTATAAATCAAAATTTAAAATTTATTTTTGAATTTTATTATGTTTATTGCATGAGTATTACTTTTTGACTTGGATAAAATTATTTATTGAATATTCGAAAGTTGCTTTATACCTAAATCAATTACTTTTTGAATATGTTCTGAGATTAATATAGAAAAAAAAACTCAATGACTAAATTGAAAAGGTTAACAAATTCAAGGACTAAAAGTTGCTTTATACCTAGATACAAAATCTATTGGTTTGGCCTTTCCTCGGAAAATCTAGGAAGTTGTATGAGCGAGTTCACTCGAGTAACACCTTCCAAACCTGACCAGTTTTGATCTTCACCTTCAGCCATATTCCCACTCCCTTCCGATTCCTCCGGACGTAGCCTTCCGTTTCTGAAACTCCCGCTTTCTTCCGATGATCTAACAGTACAATTCCTCTGCAATGAAGGCTCCGACTTGTTTCCACCATCATCGGATTCACCTGCATTACCGGAATGATAACTCTGAAGGGTTGCAGAAGAAAAGCCCTGTTCCTCGTAGTCTGATTCCGAGTCCATTTTTCCGTCCAAAAATAAGCAAACGACTGCACAATCATCCATCTTTGAAGTAGGGTACTTAAGTTTCCATTCACGTGCAGCCGAATCTACCAAGATCCTGGCAGCAGACGACCGGGACGTAGCCGATGATACAATCTCAACTACCTCTTCATTGCTCAACACATCCCATACCTGTGATAACAATTTAAATGACACATAAAATCATAAACAATGCAGGTAGACTAAGTGTTTAGCGATTCGGATATGAAAAAAATTACCCCATCGGAGGCTAAGACGATAAATTGATCTCTTTCCGTGAGTAAGATATGGGAAAATTCGGGCATGGATATGACACCATATTCCTTCAGACAGAAATCTCCGAAAGCTCGAGCCATTGCTAGCCCTGGTGCATCATCAAATGGCAACCATACTCGACATACTTCAGGTTCGTCTTGCAATGCAAACACCCTTCCTTTGCACTTTTTAATCCTCTCAGCTTCCCCTGTCGCATAATCTCAATGTTATTTACATCCCATTCAAGCAGATTCCAACAAGAGAAAATAAAATGGTCTGGGATGTTCTACTTGGTAAATCAGGCTTGAGATCAATTGTCAATTGGACCGCCGCCATAGAACCGCTGCTGTCTTTTGATCCCATTATCGCTCGAGAATCCCCGATGTATCCCATGAAAAGATTGGAGCCCTGAAGTCGTATAAATCAATCCAAATGAGTTATGGATGAAAGCAAAGATGAAAAGATGCAAGCAGGGCTTGTGTTCATTAACCTGTTTCACTATACTAACTGCAGTGCTACCACTGCAGAAGCAGTCCAAATTAGAATGGGACCTTAGCTCTTTATCCATGGCCTTGTATGACTTCATGAATGCTTCCCTCCATAAAGACGTTAATCTCTCCTCGGCCGAGACATCCTTCTCTGAATCCCCACTTCCCAGTTTCTTCTTCGAACTCCCTTTGAAACATGTCTGCCCTGTCCCATTCTGCCTTAACTGACAAGAATGCAAGGAGGACAGCAACTTAAGGGGAAGGGCGTCTCTCACTTTGCGAGCAACAAGATGACCGTACGGGCCGTGGCCATCAAATACACCACAAAAAATCGCATCTTCTGCCATGAAATCCTATAGGAAAATTTCGAGTTTATCACGGTTCACCTGAAAACATAAACGATTACCAGAATTGAAGCGATATCGAAAAACTTACTTCCCATACAATCATGGCATCCTGGTTTATTCCCTTGCGACCTTGCTGAGTGAATATGCAGGAACTGCTACTCTTCCCATTTGTGAAAATCCTGTTGGGGACCGAGGGTAAATGCTGCAATCCGATGACATGATCCGAGAACGTTCTCATAGTACTCTTCGACCCGCAACATCCGACATCGAAACACGTCGGAGAATCCACTTCCCCCCGGCTCCTGGTGCTGCAATTACTCGGGCTACTTGTGGAGACACAACCCCCCATTTCGTCAACTCCGAAAGATGATAATTCGACGAAGTTAAAAAGGACCAAATACTATAACACCAAAGATTCCTCCAAAAATCAGACCACACAGGCCATTTACACATCAATGTAATAAAACTGGGAATCTTTTAACACTTGGTCGTACGAAATCCATTGATGGTTGACAAAACCAGCTGAAAGAAAAAAAAAAGCAATATATTTGTTAATTGATTTTTTTATTACATAGTTTTAATTATATATAGGGGTCTCATGTAAAAAAAATGTAGAAAATTGAGCAAAAATGCATATAAATTATCTTTCCAAGTGACATCAGAATAGAATAAACCGGGAAACAAGAACAAAGCTTTACCTTGTTTGCTCAGAAACAAAGCTCAAAAGAGAGATCAATGGAAAATTTGCACATCAGATCCAAATATATTGCATCAATGGAAAGTTTACACAAACAAGACCAAAAAGAACTATGCTTAATGAAGTTTGAACAAAAGTTGGAAACTTTGGGGAGAAAAAGAAGAAGAATCTGGTTTTAGGTTTCCCAGAAAAAAAAACATGAGATTTTTGACAGAGAAAAGGGAAAGGAACAGTGAAATGGGGAACAAAACAGAATCGAGAACAGTAAAAAGAATAATATAGATCGAAGTAAAACAAAAATAGAAGGAACAAAACCCAAATTCACTATGTTGTTAAATAAAAAAAATAAGAAATAATGTAGAGATTAAGCAGAGTTGAAAGCTTGTGGAAGAGGGGAAAGGGAGCTTCCAACAAAAGGTAGAAGCTTTGGTGTTTGCATGGATAATGGTGTAAAAAAGCTTAGCTGACAGAAGAAACATGGCGAATGAGAAGTGATTGAGGCTATCATTTAGCAGAGAGAATAAAACCCAGAATGATTACCTGTGTCTGTGTTTTGTTTGCAGAATTGTAGGCCTTGTGGAAGAAGCAGAACCAAAATGCACCAGACTTGGAAAAACCAGATAGACAGCCGGGGGGGGGGGGGGGGTTGAGGGGGCGATCGTTTACAAGGCCAATTAATGGCTAAAGAATACCGTAACAAAGAGGGAGTCTTTGTAATTGTAGTCACTAACCATATCCTTTTCTAATTTGTATTTCTATATTTTTATATAAAGAGTCAAAGAAATTTTTTTATTTCTTTATCGGTTTTGGGTAGGGTTGATTAATGAGATGTAATGAGTTTGGGATCTCGTGAGCAGTTCGAATAGATTCGATCAAAGTATGGTAAAAATTTGATTTGACTCGACTCGAGACCTTAACGAGTGGAGTTGAGCCGAGCAAAATCCAACTCGACTTAATAAGTTTGCGAGTAGCTCATTAATTTTTTAATATAATTTTTTAGTAGTCATCTTAAAAAATTATTTCATACACACAAAAATCGAACCTTATTATTATTTTAATGTATTTGTGGATTGTTATTTTGAAGTTTAGACTTTAAAATTACTTCATACATTCTTTTGATAATTTTTTATTTTTATTTATTAATTTATGTTTATATTAAGTTCTATATAGTATTAGTAGATTTTAGTTATAGTTAAGAAAATAAGGTAAAAAGTTTTATGAGCTTAACAAAAAAGAAGGCGAGCAATGAGCATCGAGCTTAATGAGCAACAAGGTTTTTAATGAGCACAAGTCGAACAAAATTTTAACGAGTTTAACGAGCAACGAGTCAAGTCGAGCAACAAAATTTTTTAACGAGCACGAGTCGAGCACAACCCAACTTGTGATCGACTCGCTCGATAAGCACACCTAATTTTAGGATTATAATATGAATAAGTAACCAAAGGATATCACATTCTTTGTTTAAATATTCATTATTTGTTTGTTTTTAAGATATTAATATTTTTATTGATGACACACGTAATAATTTCAAGGTTTTCTTATTTTCTTTTCCGTTTTGGGTGGGCTTGAAATATTCAATATTTATTTGTTTAAATTCATAATTTTAAAATAACATGTGTTTAACACATCTTGGCCAATATGTGAGATTGTGTTTAAATTCTTCCCTATGTGTTTAATTCATAATTTAGTACTTAAAATGTATGAGATTGTATTTAGACCCCTTTGATTATTTGATTTATAATTGAACCCTCTTGGCTGATATGTTTGATAATTTAATCCCTAAATTTGATGATTGGCAACTATTTGGATGTTTGATTCTTTAATTTAATTCTAATTCGAGTCTGACTAAGTTTCAATCAATCAATATGACACCTCCGACTTAATTTTTAACTAGATCGAGTCGAGGGGGGATTGTCTCAGGAAAGACGGGTTAATATACGGCTAATATATGGCGTTATCGGATATATTAAAAGATATTTAACAAATTCGATTTAGCACTACCGGAAATGTTGAGTAATAATAATGTAGTAGGTCTAAATCATGAAGAATATTAAAAAAATTTGGCAACCGAAAAACTTAACTTATCGGTTTGTGTCGATCCAAATTAAAAATGTATCGATCCATATCAATATAACAGGTAAAAATATGACAAAACCGGTCACGAAAAGACAATACCGGTAAAGCCCTACCGGATATATTTAAAGTGTCGATACTTTAATATAAGTATCGACACTTTGTGAATTTAAAAGAGAAGCAGTTTTAGCGCCTATAAAGTGTCGATACTTTATAAAAATGTATCGATCCACAACGATATAACGGGTAAAAATATGATAAAACCGTTATCAAAATGATAAAACCGGTAAAGCGCTACCGGATATATTGAAAGTATCGATACTTTAATAAGTATATGTAATAAATTATCGATAATTTTAAAGAAATAGGTAATTATCCTATCGTAAGTATTGACACCTGACATAAAAGTATCGACACTTTGGTAATTGTATCGATTAAATATAAATAACATATCCGATGAAAATATAAAGGACATAGCTAAATATCCTCTGAAAATAGATAGAACGGACGAGTTTTTGAAATCAAAGCGTAATTGTTGTTGCATTTCAGAAGGCGTTTCTAAAGCGAAGTTTGTTTGTCGTTGCTGCAGTCGAATCGAAAAATATGTTGTCGAAACCCTAGTTTTTTATTATTACAATAATTACAAATAGGATTTTTATGTGTTGTTTGGGGTTTTGGAGTAAAGAAGCATTTGATACCGATTACAGGTAGAAAGTGATATTCAAGGTAAAATATAAATGCCGATACTTTTATTAAATATTATAGGTAGAAAATGATATTATAGGTTGTATAAATGTGCCGACACATTTTGTAGTGGCCATTCAAATTCTTTTGAAGAAAACCGTTTTACCACAAGAGTAGTTATCTATATTTGTATATTGAATAAAGTTTATGTAACAAGTATTTGATTTGATTTGTGTAAACTGATATATGAAAGAAAAATGGAGTCAATGGGTGGAAAAATTATTGGTGGCGCAGATGACTTTGAAATTGAGGCCGAGACTCGAAAGCAACCAAAGGGTGGATATATGTACTTCTAGTAAGTATCAATGTCTTTTTGTTATTATTGTTGAAATGGTAATTGAATTAAAGTATTTAAGAACTTTAAATTGATGACAAATTTTAAATGTTGACAGTATGGCCAAATATAAAAGGATGAAGGAAGATGGCACACAGAGCGGTTTGGTATGTAAAATGAAATTGACATTGAATATTATTTAGTGTTAATGTATTGATTAAGAAACGTTTATGCTTAATATTAGGTAACAAAAGATGTAAGGTCCAAATGGAATTCGATAAGTGATGCTGAAAAGGAACCTTACATCACACAGTCAAGGAATGATAGTAAAGAATACAAAGAACGGAGGAAAGCACATGCAAATAAGGTATTCATTAAACTTGTAAATACATTGATACAAAATATATAAGAACTATAACATTATATATTGTTAAAAAAATATAGGAAGTGTCGACAAGGTGCAGCATTAAAAGGGTGAATTCATTAGTTAAACACCTTAAGGAGAAGGGTCAGTTGAATGTGCTGGGAGAAATAGGGTTTGGATCATTGGTAAGAGTAAGGGATCAACCTATTCGGACGGAATTGTGTCGATCCTTGATGGCGCAATTTGATGTCAAATAATGTATTGCTAAGTATGGTGATTTTTCATTTCCTCTCGGGATCCCATATGCTGCAACCGTATTGGGGGTAGAAAATGAAGGCAAAAATGTTGTAGAAGTCTGTAAGAGTAAGAATTAGAAATCACTTGCCTCCAAATATGGTTTGAAGCAGAATGTGACATATTTGATTGGGGGTAGAAAATGAAGGCAAAAATGTTGTAGAAGTCTGTAAGAGTAAGAATTAGAAATCACTTGCCTCCAAATATGGTTTGAAGCAGAATGTGACATATGTTGAACTTGAAGAGGAAATAAAAAGTGGATCTTACGGGGGGATGAGCTGAAGGCCAGAGTTCTATTGTACCTTGTCGGTATCTTTCTTTGTCCAATGGGTGATACGTCCACGAACAAGGACTATATGAAGCTCATTTGCGATGAAGGCTTGAAGGGTGAATTCAATTGGGATGAATATATCCATTCGAGATTGATTGAATCAATAATCACCTTTAAAAAGGGCAGTCAGAGATACCTCAAAGGGTGTATAACAATCTTAGAGGTAAATGACTTGAAGAACTTTTTTGTTTTTTTTTTATAAAATGATAGTATAGTTATTATATAAAATTATAAATTTTATTATAAATACAGGTTGCACTGTTCGATTTTTGGTCAGGCTGTGAGGCAGTGCCGGCTTATGAAAGAACCGGAGTGGCACGCATCCGTGCATGGGGGAAGGAGAAGGTGGTTAGAGTGATGGCGAAGTTGAAGTTGGATAGACCGAGGAAGCACGAAAGGGTAATAAATGTAACTAAATAATTAAATAATATTAAGAATATAATCAATGTCTTAATATTGTAATTTAATTTTGAAGGTTATTGGCAAGGAGGTAGAGGAGGCAGTGGAGAAGAAAGAAGAGATAGTTGTATTAGGGGATGGCAGTGAGGAAAAATAGAGTAACTTCGACATTTTGATGTCTGAATTGGCTGATATCAAAAAAATCCAATTTGATATCATGCAAAGACAAACAAGAGTCGAAGAGAAACTTGAGAGAGTCGAAGAGAAACTTGAGTGAGTTAAAGATACACTTAAGAGGCATAAGGGGGAAGTGGAAGGAAAAATATATGGAGTGGTGAAAGAAGTAGAGGTGTTGAGGGGTGAAGTGGTGAAAGAAGTTGAGGTGTTAAGGGGTGATCTTAAGATGGTGACAGGTGAAAAATTTGATGGAGTGGTGAAGGAGGTTGTAGAATTGAGGAGTGAACTTACGGGGGTGAAGGGGGTGGTTGATCAATGCTTGGATGAAGGAGATCAATTGAAGGGTGAAATAAAAGAGATGAAGAGCTATGTAGAGCAAAAATACGATGGACTGAAAAAATATGAAGAAGAAAAGAGGGAGGAGGAAGAAGAAAAGATGGAAGAAATGAGGAGGAAGGAAGTCGATGTCATTTATACACCGGAGAGTGCTATAGCAACATATTTGGATTTGGAATGTCCTGCACCCCAGAAGAAGAAGCAGAAGGTAAGTTGAATAAAAAGAAAACTTAATTTGATCTTTACCATGTTGTTGTGACAAAAATTTGTATGCAAAATTGTAGGTTGAAAAAGCGGATATTCCAAGCGGAATTGATGACATCGAAGCTGCAATTTATGATTATTTATGGAATAGTGAGTTAGAATCGGGGTATGTGAAATATATTACTTTGTGAGTGATATTTAAATATTTCATGACAACATATTAATCCTAATGATTCATACAGATATTCTGTAATCTCAATGGGAAATCAATTTGCTAGTGTATACGACGTTGTAACTTTGAAGCCTACGGAATGGGTTGGCGGTGTGGTAAGTAGAAAGTAGAAAATGTTAAAACTTATTGAATATGTTCTGATTGTGTAATTAATTTTATTAGGTTATTAATTTGCTCGCCTGGACAGTATGCTACGATTCTC